TATAATATTAAAAATATATAAAATAGTAATAATTTTTATAAAGTTCTAATCAAAATAATAATTACAAATGTTTAGTAGCTCTATTAATATAATTATTAAGTTTGAAACTTAAGCTCTTAAATTTGTTTTCGTATATTTTAAATAAAATAAAATCAAAAATCTAATATTAAAATTGCAATTTATTTATTCTCTCACATAACCAAATAAATATTCATTAATTTTCAAATTCTTGATTTTTTCTAATTTTAAGCTCATTATCCAATAGTGCGTAATTATATTGTTAAAAAATGATAATATCACATAATAATAGCTATTTATTATTTATTAAATTCTCTTTTTCCTTTTATATAAATAAAATGAAAAATAACGAGAATCTTTCAAGTTATGCTGTAGAAAAAAGGATTGGAGAAGGAGCCTTTGCTGTTGTGTATAGAATCTTTATATTAAAATTAGTTTTTTAGCAACGGTTTAGGAGTCAGGGGAAAGAGTTGCAATTAAAAAGGCACCTCTTGACAAGAAATATAAAAATAGAGAGCTTGCCAACCTGAAGTTACTTGGAGATCATCCAAATATTATATCCCTCAGGGATGCCTTTTATGTAGTTGGTTAAAAGTATAACGTATTTATTATGAATTAAGTGAAGAAGTTTATATAAATTATGTTATGGAGTACATTCCTGAGAATTTATCAGATTACATAAAGAATTTGAAGAAATAAAAGAAGCAATTTACATAAATTCAATTATAATGCATAACTTATTAATTACTTAGAGGATTGGCTTTTATTCATGGAAAAGGAATGGCTCATCGTGATATTAAACCATAGAATATTCTTATAGATAAAATGATTGTTAAATATTGTGATTTTGGTTCATCAAAGATTATTTCAGGAGGATAAATCAATACTTCCTATTTATGTTCCAGAAATTATCGAGCTCCTGAACTTATCTTTGGAGCCACTGATTATTCTACTAGTATTGATATATGGTCATTGGGTTGTGTTTTTGCTGAGTTGGTTTTATTGGAACCTCTATTTCCAGGCGAAAGTTCAGTGGATTAATTAGTTGAAATAATGAAGGTTTTGGGAACACCTACAGCAGCTGATATTGCTGAATTTAATGTTTCTAATACTGAATTTAAATTTCCTTAAGTTAAAGGACATCCTTGGTCAAAAGTTTTCCTTAAATATAAACCGGATCCATAATTTGTTGATTTGATTAAAAAGATGCTTACGTAATTATGTAATAATATTAAAATAGTTATTAACCATAATAAAGGATAAAACCATTTATAGCTTTAATGCATCCATTCTTTAATGATTTGAGGGAAATAAAAAATGAGGAAATACCAGATATATTTTGGTAATTTACACCAGAGGAAGAGAATATTTTTGGAAGACAACCATTAAAACATTTGATGCCATCATGGTGGTAGGGGTAAAAATGATTTATATTTATTTTAATACTAATTATATGATAATTAATGTTTAGTGTATGTTGATTCACTTAAATTTAACATATGTAATCTTAATTTATGTAAATATTTATTTTAAATCAATATTTCTTTAAAATCATTAAATTATAAGCTTTTATCCTATAATGATAATAATTCTAATCATATTTATTTATGAATAAATTATCTAATATTTTTAATTATAAAAATTTATGATTAATTTATTTCAGTTTTAATTATATTCAAATATAATTAAATATGTATTTATCAATAAATTTAAAAAAACATATTAAAACTGTATGATATTATTGTAAAATATTAATATAGTTAAAAGAACAATCATATACCTAAGATTATCTTTTAAATTAACTAAAAGATTATGATGAATAAGGTAATTTAGAAGTAATTTAACTGATTATAAGAATGTTAAAAAAGAAAATAAAAATTAAATTGTTTGAATATATTTTATTTCTAATTATAATTCTGAAAAAAATGGATTTTATACTTGATACATCTCTTATTTTATCATATCTATTTTTATTATAATATACTTTCACTCTTTTATAAATAAAATCTATGTAGAAATAAACAATGTAGAAGTAATAATAAGATTTCAGTAATAATTTTACCAATACTTATCTATGCCTTTCATATTTCTGAAATTATTTAATTAATTAAATGTCTGCTCAAGAAATGAATTCAGATCATCAAAAATATCTTCCAGATTAAGAACAATAACAATTAAAACCAGATGATCAAATATTTGATTAAGATGGATAGTAGTAAACATTAAAATATACTGAAACTAATCCAATGAGTGGTGTGTTAAATCAAGTTTATCATGAAGAAGATCCTAAGTTGATGAAAAGGGATATTGTGAAAAAGAGAAAGTAATAAGCAAAATAGGAACGATTGATTTCAGCAAAAAGACTAAAGAGATTATTACGCAAAAAACCTATTGATAAAGTGAGATTGGCATATTAAGCTTATTTTTTCATTGTTAGTATAGCTGTATTGGCATTAAGTATTTTATCTTACAGAGATTAAACTGTGTATGAAGGAGATTATAAATAATTTTTAGATAATATGGGTTCATATGTAATAGATGATATTTAATTTACTTATACAAATAAAAACTGTAAGAGTTAATTTGGAGAAGAAGTAAATAATAATTTCAAAAATTTTAGTATTCTTCTTTATATGAATATTACTGGCCAGGAACAATGATTGGATGTGATTGTAGTAAAGGATTTAATTTCTCTTTATTATAAGATTAAAATATTGTTAATATAGAAGAATTCTTTAAACAGTCTTTTATGTTGGGTAGAGTTTGCAGTTAAGAAATGTTGGCAAGAGGATGTCATAATGTGAATGAATAATAACCTAAAGCTTTTAACTCTTGGAATGATGGTTCATATGGAAGACGTAATTTATCTATATATATATTTTAGCCTTTGTTTTATGTGCTAGAAGAAAGACTGGTATAAGTTTACAAACAAATTAGAGTTATTGTGAATCAGAAAACAAAACTGTATGTGGCACTGGAGATAATATATTTTGTGTATCATCTGATATGAGTTGTCCTATCTCAGATCTTGGATTTACTACTAATTCTAATTTCAAAAACTTGTAAAAATTAAATGATACTAATATTGGATATATCTATGATTTAGGAAAAGGATTCTATTTTTATTATTTAAAAAATACATCAAATTTACCTCTTATTGAATTTAGAGTTACTGAAGGTGATAAAGTTTGTAGGAGGAATTTAAATTAGAATATTTCTCCTAATAGAATTGATTATCCACTTATGATTGATAGAAGATAATAATGTGAAAATACAGATCCATTATTTAAATTAATTCATTCTATAGATGAAGAATAATTTTATTTATCCAATAATGTCATTTATTTATAAGAAAAATTACCTTATTTTAACATTGATACAAAATATAATTGGACAATTCATTCTAAAACTTATATTCCTTGGGCTTCAAATTGTAGAGGATAATTATTCGATGATGTAATTCATGAGGGAGGAACATTATTTTTTGTATATATATCTTTAAGAGTTTAATTGGGAGTTACAATAACATATTTTATTGTTATTGGTCTAATATTCAATATTGTAGGAACTATGACTGCTTGTAATTTTGCTTGGTCTTGTATGACAAGTATTAATAATCAAATATAATTTAGCTCGTCCGGAATCTTAATATAATTATATATTTTTTATAGAAATAGGCTTTAAAATAGCATTATAAATAGCTGAAATTATTGTTATTTGTGTTTCATTTGCAATTATAGATGGAAAAAGACTAGTAATTAAAGATATTAATGATAATAATTGTGTTTCAGATCCTGTTAGTGATTACTTTTTTACAAATCTAGAAAATGATTTAACTAAATTTGCTTGGTCATATAACCTAGCAAATTTAGTTATCTTTTCAGTAACCATAATATTAGATTTAATTATAATAAAACATTCCTTAAATAAGGGTCAACATCATGGTGCAAAAATGCATCATGAGAAGGGTGAACATTAAGAACTAGCTGTAGGATCACATGGAGAATCTGCAAATTTTTAAGATGTTAAAAGTGATTAAAAGTTATAAGTTAAAGGTGACATATGAAAGTCTCCATTATGATAATATTACATAATAATATTTTAATTTTAAAAAATCAAATTAAATCATTGATTAATTATAAAATCTCGATCGTTACAAGTTAATTGTAATGATTTTCTAATTCATTTTTTACATTAGATTTGATTTAATGAATAAAGCTTTGAAAATTCTATTTAGAGTAATTTTATGATTAAATTTTTAATTCTAAAATGAATTAATCTTTTGCTTTCTATTCATCATAATTAATTTAGAATCTATAATATTTTTCAATCTCATCTTATATTTATTTATTCAATTAGTTAATATTATTGAATTCTTTAAGAATTGTAATTAATTAAGTATTCAAGATATGTTTATTTGTTTAATTAATTTCTTTAAGTATAGCCTAAATTATTAAATCAAAATTTGATTCCCAAGATTCTAAGTAGACTCCTGTGTGATTCCAAATTATCTTCATCATTTATTATTTTATAATTGATTCAAAAACATTAAATATCTTTAATTCATCTTAACTTAATTTTGAAGTGTCAAATAATTAAATTTAATCTACATAATTGTTCTCATTATTATTATTATTAAGATATTTTAATTCATAAATAATGCCTTATTCATTTAAATAATCAATAAATTTTAAGATAGCAGTTATATTTCTTTATCTTTTTGATAAAATCCCATATTCTTCTCCTTCCTAATACTTAATTTCTTAAATGTTTGATTCATTTAAATAAATTTAACCTTTTTTAAGCTTTTACTATTATTAATCAACACAACTAAAATAAAATAATATTATTAAATACTCTTAAATTAGAAGATTAAAAAAGTCTATTAATTTATTTAAATCATCCTCCTTTATATTATTTTTATAATCATTCAATATATTACAAATGGTCTTGAATAATTAACACTATTAATTTGAAAATGCTTAAATAAATTAAATACAACAATCAATTATTTAATTAATATCTTCTATATAATTAAATTGATAATTAGAATGATCAATAATACTATAATTTATAAAATATACTTTTTGTATTGTAAATTTAGATTATATGATTGTTAATTTATTATCATTTTTTAATTAGATAATAATGTTTTAAGGTATTAATTTTCCATGTGACATTTTCTATTTATGTAATTATTAAAGATGTTTTAAGACTTCTAATATAATAATTATAAGCTATCCTTTATAGATCTTTGTGAAATTGTAATTCTAACAATTATAATCAATTTACCATTGATTCTATTAATTAATGTAAGCTAAAACATTAAGACTAATGAAATTTATAATCTATTTGATCTATTATTTATTAAGTGTTTTGATAATCATTATTTTCAAAGTACATTATTTTTTGAAGAAAATCATCATCATTCCTATTTACTTTTTATGTTATCTCATACTAATTCTACCACCCTTTCATTTATTTTTATTAAATTAATATATTATCAGAATAAAATATTGGAGAAAACCTATTAACATATTCGTATATCATGATAAGTTATGAACATCTCTTCTTCGTATTCTATGAAGGAAAAGAAATAATTTTTAATATTAGAATATTATTTTTCAAACTAACAATTAATAATAGAATTACAATGAAAGCAAAACTTATAATATTATATTCCTAATTGCAATAATTTATCCACAGTCATTTTCTAATTTAATTGAAAAACTATATGATTTCTTTTTATTTCTAAATCATTCTTCCTTATGCTTTATATAATGAATAATTTAGTTTTTACATGTTACATATTTAATTTTTTATTTTATATAATCACATAATATAATCAAAGAATTGAATTCTATTATTATTATGATTTCCTCTTTAGATAATAAGAATAATTGATGAATATTAGATAAGTATAAGAGATGAGTGATTAAGGATAATTAAATTTTAAAATTAGATTTAAAATTAATTAAAATATAATCAATGCCTGCTAAAAAGAGAACTGTGAGAATTGGTAATTGGTACAAGAGTGATGATGAAAAAGTCCATTTCGTTAGAAAGAGAAAAGTATTTTGAAATAAAATCAAAAAAAGGCTCCAAGACCAGCTAAGTTAAGAAAAATTGTACCAGGACAAGTATTGATCTTGTTGGCTGGAAGATTCTAAGGAAAGAGAGTAGTATTCTTAAAGCAGCTTAAATCAGGATTGTTGCTTGTAACAGGTCCATTCAAAATTAATGGTGTCCCACTTAAGAGAGTCAACTCAGCATATGTCATACCAACATCCACAAAAGTAGATGTCAATGGAGTGAATGCTGGTTAAGTGGATGATGATTATTTCAAGAGAACATAAGCTTAGAGACGTAAAAATGAATAAGGATTTTGGGCCAAGAGAGGAGAAGTAAAGTTAATTTATAATGTTTAGCTCACACCTGAATAATAAACTGCAGAAAAAACAAGATTGGAAGGTAAAAGAAAGACATAAAAATCAATTGATGATGCATTGATTGCAGCTGTTAAGAAAACAGCACTCTTGAAACAATATCTTGGTGCACGTTTCAGCATTGGTAAAACAACAAGACCACACGAGCTAGTATTTTGATTATTCCAAGATATTATCGTACAATATAAAATATTATAAATAACATTAACTTTATTTAACATGCTTTTTAAAAAAAGGACTATAAAAATTTGTAAAAAGTGTTTAATCATAGGATTCTGCATTCTTATGAATTATAGAATATAATTATCTAGTTATTATAATTGAATAAACTTCATCTATACATTTATTAATTAGTACATATTTTCTTTGATATTTTGATTCTGATAATTTTATGTATAGTGAATCAATCAGTTAGATTATTTGTAGCAAAAAATTTGGAATAAATTATTAAAAGATTTATTTAGTATTTTTAAATGGGAAAATTGTAAGCAATAGTAATATAGCTAGCTTGAAACCAGGTCGTCTAGTAGTTATGCTTGCTGGCAGATATGCAGGAAAGAAGGCTATTTTGATTAAAGCAAATGAAGAATCAACTAAAGTAAATCAAATATTGATTTATTTTAGGATGCAAAATTCCCTAATGGTTTAGTTGTTGGTATCTAAAGATATCCAAGAAAAGTTACCAAGAGAATGGGTTAAAAATAAATCAGAAAGCGAACTACATTGAAAGTATTCATTAAATAATTAAATCTTAATCACATTATGCCAACAAGGTAATAAAAAATTGATTATTTTTTAGATATAGATTAGAAGAATCAACATTGAAAGAAGTCAGAGATAGAATTGAGAGAGTTAAAGAGTCTGAATTAAAGAATGTTGAAAAAAGAAAGGACTTAAGAAAGAATTTAAGAAAATATTTAGCTGAAAAATATAGAACATTGCCAGCAGGAAGTTTGGCTGATAAGAAGGCTTAATCAAGATTCCTGTTCTCAAAATTGAGATTCTGATATATATTACAAAAGTATAATAAAATAAAGAAATAATTTAACTTCATTTTTATTGTTTAAGACTAGAAGTAAACCTATTTAAAACTATAAGACATATTCTTATATAAGAATTACCAATATTAAAATAATTAATTATGCAAGAAAATCTATTTATTTATTTATGAATTAAATTAAATATAGTTTTTGCAAAGTCAGAAATCTTCTTTTATAAAAGCTCACTTAAGATTTTACTCCTGAACATTTAAGTATTATAAATGAGAGTAATTTACATTCTGTTCCAAAGGGTTCAGAAACTCATTTTAAAATTACAATTGTTAGCAATGAATTCGAAAATAAAAGTCATATACTAAGACATAGATCTATTTATTAATCTATTGATAATGTTTGATACTATATATTTATGATAGCTAAAAAATGATTATAAAATTCATGCCATCTAAATAACAGCTAAAACATCTAATGAATGGTAGAAATCTACAGAAGTTAACCCTACTCCAAGTTGCAGAGGAGGATCAAAAGTGAAATCCAGCTGAAAATAAAAATATCATATATAATTATAAAAATGAATTTACATTTACAATGATATTTTAGTATTTCAAATCCAAATAGATTGTTCAATATTTAATTATTAACAATAATAGAAGGATAACTCAAAATAGAAAAGCATTATTTAATAATCATATTTTTATAAAAATGAACAAATTAATTTCTTTTAATTGAGATATTATTTAAAATAATGTACCAATAACCAACTTAGTATCCGAATTCAAAGTACAAAACACAACTCTGTAGACATTTTAGTAAGTGTTTGAATCAAAATATAGCATCAAATGGAGTTTGCGCTCTAGGGCTAAGATGTTAGTTTGCTCATGGACCATAGGAACTTAGAGCCAATAGTATATAACCAGGATATGTTGAATAAGTTATTCCTGCCAATAATTACAATAAGGTTTAAGGGATCAACCCTATGATTGTTAATTACAAAAGTAAATGATCAAAATCATGAATTTAGCATAATTATGTAAGCATTTCAATCCATAAACTGGCCAATGTAAAAATGGACCCACTTGTACTTTTGCACATGGGGAAAGTGAATTAAACACAATGCCATATTTATAAAGTTAATACTAGTAAAGCTTCTATATGACTATCCATTAGATAGATGTAATAATAAATGAAATAAATGAATTAACAATAATAATAGGCAGATCTTACCTAATAGATACTTATAATGATATTAACTAATATGGAACATATCTTTCCTGGATAGCAAGTACTTTTTACTTATATTATTTTAAGCAAATTCTGTATCTCTTAAAATAAGGATAAGACAAAGCAAAGTAAGGAGATACTTAGGGGGCAAGTGATATCATTAAATAAATTATACATGATTAAGAAAGATCAAAGGAGGAGAAATAATAATATTAATAAATCTATAATAATGCTTAAAGGCATTATGATTAAAAATTGAAAGAGATTTAATCTTAATAGTAATAACAGCTTTATTGAAATATATTATTATATATATATATATACACATATAATTTATAATCTCTTATATTTAAATTATAATTTTAGGTAATAATAAGAAGAATTCCAAGAGAAAATTTAAAGATTAATACATAAATAAATGTTATATAAAAACATAAGAATTAAAATAAATTTCTATGATTTTTAATTATTAAAATTATTCTTCTTCATAAAAAAAGATTTTCTTTAAATCTTATAATTATTATATGATCTATTCTAAATTTTAAAAAGAAATTTTTGTCTTTAAATTAAATGTTTGTTGTTATGATATTTTTAATATTGATTTGAAGATTTAAGATAATATTATTTAAATTTGATTGCATAAATTAAGAGAAACTTTGATATATAATTTAGAACGCGGTTGTGGTGTAGTGGTTATCACGTCAGTCTCACACACTGAAGGTCCCCAGTTCGAAACTGGGCAATCGCAGTTTTTTATAATTTCATATATTTATAGATTTTTTTTATCTTGATCAGCAGAGTTTATATCAAGTTATTAAATTTTTGATTATATTATCATGATTTTTATTTTTTTATGATTCTATCTATTAAATCATAAGAACATAGGTTTTGAAGAAATACCTTATGTTTTTTAGTTTATGGTAATTATATGAATTATTATTATGGTCAATACTTATTATTTGAAAGGTGGATTAAAATTGATTTTGTTATACCTTAATTTAATGATCAGAATAAATGTTCCATCAATTTCAAATAAGCAATTCTTTAATACTAGATATTTAGATTATGTGAATACAAATTAATCAGTACATTTCAAATGAGTATAAAAAATACAATCATGTTTTTATATTTTTAAGATTTCTCATTATCAAATGCAAATAATTTTTGAATAATTAATTCAAATTAAATTGAAACAATAGAATAGCAAAAACACATTGTGCTTTAACTAATAATTAATTAAGTCCAGTAACAAATAAGAAAAATTTTATAATTTTTGTATTATATAATCAGTATGAGATATATAAATTAAGTATTAATTATAAGACTTACATAATATAATTAAAAAATTTAATTAGAAATGAAATTCGATGGCTCTGATTAACAAGGCGAGGATTATCTTGATCCTACTGTAATTACCACAAAATAATAAGAAGGAAATATTTGCTTCAAGTAACGAACTGGTCATTGGGATGATAATGAACATTCTATATATTTAGAATTTTTATAAAATTCTAGAGGTCCTAATAATTCTTACAAGAAAGGATATCCATTATTTAAACAGATGAGTGAGTTTATTGGAACTAGATCACCAAGCTAATGCAGGTATTAATTTTAAAGAATTTAGATCACATCATTAAAAGTTCAATCCTTATAGCTAATTAATTCAGAAAAGCAAAAGGAAATACTTAAAGAATAGATTAAAAGTCTAAAACTAGCCAATTTTAAGAAGTAAATAAATTATGAGGAAGTATTTTGCCTCAAATAGAGAAACGACTGATGAAGAGTGACAATTTTGACTATATAAATTTTATATCATATAAAATGATTAAAAGTATATTTAAACATCATTCTAGCATAAAGATTATATTAGGATATGTTACTTTAAATTAAAAATATTTTCATATACTAAATGAATTACATATTAGAACTAAGAATAAAAAAATTAATTAATATAAATGGATTGAGAAATAGTTTAATTCATTAAATTTCTTAATGAATAATAATTATCCCTGGAAATGAAATTTAGTTTTCTTTATCACTTTTCAACAATATAGTATTAATTATAAGTTTGATTAAGTTAGCTTATCAATAAAAAAATTAAAAAAAACTTAAAATAATACAACATTTGAATTTAATTTATAATAAGAATTTCTTAGATAAACCACTTATAAAATAAAGGTTTTTCAAAATTTTTATATTAAAAAGATAGAACTTGCTCTTAGAAAATAACATTATAAAATTATTGCTAATAAACTTAATTTTGAATTAATTCATCTATAAATTCTTGAAAAATTACAAAGAAAAATGATAAAAATTATTTATTAATCATTAATTATAGTCAATCAAAAATTTTAGATCTTCTTAATTTAGATTGTGAAAGGCTTTAACTTGATGATTTATATAAATTCAAGTCTAAATTGAGTCCTGGTCTTTATTTTGGGGCATTGTATTACTATAAATTTATATTATAAATTACAATAGTTGATTGAATAATAGAAGATCTTGATTCATTCATTTATCTTGGAGGTTAATCATTTAAAGTTTTGGATAATTATGGTTAAAATTGAGCTGTAGTTTTATATTAAGGGTGCAAACTCTAAGTTTAAATAGGAGGAGGTATTTATTAATTAATTGGAAGATTCTATTATTAAACAATATAATCTTTCTATTCTAATATTTTAGACTATTAAACATTTTATATAGGATAATTTTAAGTAGTTTATAGATTCTAATCAAAATTATTATTAATTGATTATTATTAGATAGGTTAAGGTGGATAAAATATTCTTGCTGATTCTGATGTACTTAGATTTTTCTGTTAAATTGATTAATTTTAAGTTTCTTAATATCGTTAAGTGCTTTCCAATCTATTTGTTTACAATAATATTTAATTTGTATCATTAGATTATTATTGATATCCTTAAGGTGGTAATTATTACTAATAATTTCTCATTGTAACAGAGGAAAACAAATAAGGATTGTTATCCAAATTAAAAAAATTCTTCTTTTTTTCTTTTTAAGGATTTTCAATTTAGACTTATTTTGGCATTTATAGAGGAGGATATCTTTCAATTACTGTTTCTTTTGGATAGATTATAGTTGATTGTATGGGTTCTGTGATAGGTATAACATTTGATAAAACTTAATATGGTTCAAAATGTTATTGGTATGGCTAATAATGCTCATAATACATGGGATATGCTTATGGAATGTAGCTGGATTATAAATAATAGTAATTACTTTATTGGTTAATCATATGGATGTTAAGAATAAAACATTTGAAGTTGTTAATTATATCAATAAAATTTTATTAACAAATACTATAATAAAATGATTATCATTCATTTTTAATATTCATCATATTTTAAGGATGAACCCTTTACTTTATTAATAGGATATTTAATTGAATTTTTCTGAATTTTCATTTGTATAGCTGTTACAATATCAATATTGCATCTATCACATAAACGTATTAAATTGTGTAAAATATCTGCTATTTCTTCTCCAGTGTGATGTTTTTAATGTTACACTAAATTTATTAATTTAATATTTATATATTAATTTTAGATGTTGTTAAATTCTGGTAATCCAGGTTAAAATTCTCCATCAATAAATATTTCACTTAATTCTCCAACTTCACCTATTAATGCCATAACTATATTTTTAGGAGTATGGTATTATTCCCAATCTCTTTGATGACACCAATCATTTATTAATTTTCTTAAATCTTCAAATTCAAGTTAATTGAATTTAGTATTTATATCAGGTAATACAAACTCAACTATTGAATTTTAAGTTTCTTCTTTTAATTATAATTCTAATTCTAGGATTATTGATTTCAATTCATTTAAAATTAATTAGGATTTTTGGATTTCTTATTCATTAATAATCGGATGATTTCCTTTCCATTAAAAGACTGTTGAAAGCAAACCTGCTTTATGTACAATTTTAAGAATGCTTGATCTACAATCATATATTTATGGCATTTAATTAAAAATAATATTAATTGAATTTCATGCTAGAATAAATTAGTATGATTCAAAATTTGATTTCAATCTAATAAGTATTTTAATACAAAATTGTTTATTATTATTTATATGTATATTAAAATATCCATAAATGATGTATCACAATTAAATAATATATAATTTAATCTAATAAAGATTAATAATATCTAAAAAATATTTGAAGATCAGAAAGAAAGACTTTAATATAATGATAATAATAATCAATTAATAAAAATTAATTAATTAAAAAATAGAATTAATAATATATAGAATGTATAATATATATAGATAAAATTTTTGTTTTGAAATGAATGGAATAACAACCATTTGAATTTTTTTATATGAATATTAATTTTGATTTATGACAAAATGATTCCATATAGAGATTAATGTGAGATTTGTGATTTCAAAAATATTTTCAAGAGCACTTTTTATTGAATATTTTGTTATTATTTTTTATGTCAGAAGGTTTTTTAAACAAAATAAGAGATTAAGCAATCCAGTTGATAGCACAAGGTAATGGGAATATTGAATGTAGGAAAATCTGAATACTTGGGAGGAGCTACACTAGAAGCAAAATAAGGAGGATATGATAAAATGAAATTGGGATGCTAAGAATTAGTAAAATATGCCAGACAAGAGACAAATTAATAATTGTGTCAAATCGCCAGTTAAAAATTAAATGAATTTACTGCAGAAATGCAAAATATGAAAGCTTATCTAGACAATTACAAAGCAAATTTGTCAGGGTAAGTTTAACTCCAGCCTTAATAACAATAATAATAATAGTTCCCATAAAATTCACAACCGTAATAATAATTAAAAAACTCAAATGGTAACAATGAATTAAAAAAAAGTACAAACCCTAAAGATGAATAAGATTAAGGAAAATAAAAGTAAATTTTATTATTATTTATTAATTATATTAGACTTGTAGAAGGATAATAAGCATTGAGGAATAATCTATCAACAGCTATAGTCACAGAGAAACCAAATGTTAGTTGGGATGATGTTGCTGGTTTAGAGAATGCAAAAAATTCATTAAAAGAAGCTATAATTATGCCAATAAGATTCCCTGAACTCTTTTAAGGAGCACGTAAACCATGGATGGGTATACTATTATATGGAGTATAATATTAATTAAATGTTTTAGCCTCCTGGAACAGGTAAAACATTTTTAGCAAAAGCATGTGCAACTGAATGTGAAGGAACATTCTTTTCTGTATCTTCAGCAGATTTAATATCAAAATTTGTAGGAGAATCAGAGAGATTAATTAAAGAGTTATTTAATATGGCTAGAGAATCAAAACCTACAATTATATTTATTGATGAAGTTGATTCCATGACTAGTAATAGAGAAAGTGGAGGTGGAAATGAAGCATCATCTAGAGTCAAGACTCAATTTTTAGTAGAAATGTAAGGAGTTGGAAATAATAATGATTCTGTTCTAGTTTTGGGTGCAACAAATTTACCATGGGCCTTAGATCCAGCCATTAGAAGAAGGTAAAATGATTAACAATTATTTTTATAGATTTGAAAAGAGAATCTATATTCCCCTGCCTGATATTCAAGGGAGATTATCATTATTGAAAAATAAAATGAAAAATACCCCTAATAATTTATCTCCAGCAGAATTTGAAGATATTGCTAAAATGCTTGATGGATATTCAGGGTCAGATATGAATACATTAATAAGAGATGCTTCTTTTGAACCTTTAAGAAAAACTGAAAGGGCTACTCATTTTAAATACACATAAACTCCAGAAGGAATGAAATATATGGCATGTTCTCCTTCTGATCCTTAAGGTTAATAAATGAGAATGTATGATATCAAAGGAGGATAACTTTATTTACCATAAATAGAATATGTATATATTTTCATCATTTTTTTAGGATGATTTCTTAAGTGTACTTCCAAAGTGTAGGCCATCAGTTTCTTAAGGGGATCTTAAAAAATATGAAGATTGGACAGCTGAATTCGGATAAGAAGGATGATTGATTATCAATAATAATTCTAATTTGTTGAAATTGATATTTCATATAAAATTTTAATAAAATAATTGCTTGATAAAATATTTAAATAATAAATAAAATAATATGCTTTTTATTCTTGATACTATGGTTAGTTCTGATGATACTCCTATCTCTGCTTCCTCATTCTTTGGTTTCATGGGAGTTACAATGGCATTGGTGTTAGCAAGTATTTACTTTAATTCTATTATTTATCATAGATTTGGGAGCAGGATATGGAACATTTAAAGCAGGAGCTGGAATTGCAGCTATAGGTATTTGGAAACCAGAAATTATCATGAAATCATTGATTCCTGTTGTTATGGCAGGTATTTTGGGTATCTATGGTATGATTGTGGCTGTATTACTATCACAGAAAGGTAATAATGCATTGGATTATTAAAAATAGTTAAAAATCCTTTAGGTTACTCTTATAAATCTGGTTTTGCTCATATGGCATCTGGTTTATGTTGTGGATGTAGTTGTATCGCAGCAGGATTTGCTATAGGAATTGTTGGTGATGTTGGTGTAAGAGGAAATGCTTAATAGGAAAGGTTATTTGTAGGATTGATTTTAATCCTAATTTTTGCAGAAGCATTGGCTTTGTATGGTTTAATTGTGTCATTGATTTTATCACAATCATGAGTATCAAATATATAATTATTAATAATAATATTGTTAGATTTCATTCTTATAGATAACTTTCTAAATAACTTTTATTCTGTATGCATATTTAAAAAAAACTAAGCAAATTAATTGTACTTTAAAACTTAAATGTGAATAACAATATGAATTTGATTTATATTCTCATCTTTTTCTTTTTATCTCTAACAAACATTCTTTTTATATAAAATATTTAAATATTGTTAGGACTGTCTTAATATTGTATGATCAACTTTTAAATTATATTTACTAATATATACATGAGTTATATTTATTTAATTTCATACTCATAATTATTAAAATTGTACTAATATAAATATAATCATATTTTGCACAAATACAAAATTATAATTTCTATTTAATTATAAATATTAATTAATACTTTTTTCATTTTCTTCTTTATATTAGACAATTTTTAATTGATTTATTGAGCCAGAAATATTTACTAATATTCAATCCATTTTGGTATTTTAGAAATGAACTTATTAATTTAGAAAGTATTAGTTTTTTTACTCATTTATTAATTATATTATTTTTATAAAATTAGAATAACAATAGAGGTGAATAAATAGATATGCATAACATAAATTTCGAACGTGGGGTAATAGCTCATTTGGTAGAGCGTATGCTTAGCATGCATGAGGCGCTGAGATCGAAGCTCGGTTGCTCCATATTTTTTTTAATTTATATTTTATTAACTTTCATAATAACACGTTTATTTATATAATAACATTTATTGTTAAATTGATTATTAGAAATAATGAAAGAGTTTTAATATAATTATCATGAAATCTCTTAAAATATTAAAATAAAAATATTGTTATATCATTATTTTATGAATGCATTAAAAAATGAAGAAGTTTGAGTTCATTCTCAATTTTTTATTAAATCTATATAATGATTATCTTCAATCAATGAAACATTTTTTGGAAACATTAAATTAGAAAGCATACTCAATAAAAATCAATTCTAAATATTCTCCATAATGAAAAGTATAAAATATTATGAATATCATATCTAATTCTAAAAAATTTTATTGCTGAAGAAAAGAAACTTTATAAATAGAAAGCTTTATAATTTCTGAAATTAGAATAGGCATTAACGAGTGTTTAATAAATTAGATTTCATAAAAAAGTGTTTCTTCTAATTATAATTTATTGTATTAATTTATATGATAATTATAAGTTAAATTATAATATATAAATATATAGCATAAACAATATTATAGGAAAGTGATGTTTTAAGTTTGGTTATCAAAAATAATAAATAATTATACATTTATTATTTTCTTTGTAATATATTTGATAATATTTTTAAGAATGATTGTTTAATTCTAATGACTCATAATTTTTCTAATCTATCTATATTTAGTCTTAATTTTTATTTAATTAAATCATAATTACAGCATTTTCAGTTTGTAATGAATAATAATAATAAAAATGGAGTTTGATATTTCATTATTAAAGAATAAAAGTTAGTTATCAAGAGAAAGAATTGTTATTAATGTATTTATAGAAAAAAAGAATGGCTTATAAATGAATATATGTATGAATTTTATAAGTTATTGAAATAATATGAAATAAATTCCTTTTATATTAAAATTAGATATTTATTTTTTAAATAAAAATGAACACCGCCACCTAATAGCAATAAAGAGGTTAAAAATAAAAACTCGATCCATAAGATAATAATTTGCATATCTCTTCTAAGAAAAATGCAAGAGAATTCATATTCATTTCAAAAATATTTTTGAAGAAATTCCAAAATGTTGAATTGCATGCTTTAGGTGAAGCTACTAAGATTAGTGTTAGAGTTGCTGAAAATTTATAGAGATAAGGTATAATTTAAAACATATATAAAGGTTTGGTAACTATAACTAAAATTAATTCATTCACAGCTGATATTGAAGGAAGAAAGAGAGTGAAATTGGTTGTCAGTTTACAACTTACCTAAGATGGAAAAGCAAGAATCGATTAAGAATTATAAGCCTGAGTGATTAAATGAAAGCGCAAAATAGTACACATATATTAAATTGTTTTATAATTAAATTACGATATTCTGTTCTTGACTTTTTTATTATTATTGATATATATTAGATATATAATAAATAGTAATCATTAAAGATATTAAATCAAAATATTTATTATATTTTAATAGTTATATATTTCAACTCAAGTATTTTTATTTTATTAAAGAATTTCATTATCTTATTCATCTAAGTTAATCATAAGAATTCTTGCTCATACTCATTAATTTTGATATTTTACATTAGTATTAAGCAAATTAATTAGTCTTAATTTGTTAAAATATAATTGTAAAAGAAAATAACTGATTACTTAGTTAATTACTTTTAAGTTTATATTCAAAACATTAAATTGTTAATTTCAATCCTTTTTGTTCTTAAACTAAAAGAATAATTAATACTGAAACATTAAATTGAAGATATAATTAGATATGATAGTTTTAAAGAAATTATAGTATAAATCCATTTCACATAATTAATTTGACAAATTCTATTTCATCATAAAAAATAAGATTTATTAATTAAACTGAAGAGTGAAGGTTCTTAGTAAATATAAGAAGAAGGAGGAAGAATTAAAGGCGATTAAAGAAGGTAGATAAAAAAGAGTTACTATCAGAAACAAGAAATAAAATAAATTATTAATTTAAATTTATGCTGATTTAAGCAAAACAATTCATTATAAATCTTCTATGTAATATAATTGATTTTCTTTCTTTTTTTGTTCATTAAGCTTTATATCATTTTTTAAGTATCTATAAAGAAGTGAATTTTTTATAGTAATATAAATAAGTAGTTTGTAAAATCATCAAAATAAACAAAAAATAAATTGATTGTTCTTTTGAAATAATTAGTTAAAATTGTATTACTAATGAACAATGAACATTAATATTTCTAATCTATATTTAATAAAATTTCAATAATTTATTTACCTTTTTCTATAAATTTATTCACATTAAATTGTGTTATAGTTTTATTTATCACATTATTCATATAAGTTTGTATAATTTAGCATGTGTATAAATATTTATAATTTATAACATGAGAGATTTTTATTGTTTTAATTTAAGATAAGTTAGATATATGTTTTTCATAATTTGATAAAATAAATATTTAATATATAATCATCTTAAAATAATAACGTAATAAAGTTTCAACAATTCAGTGTATCAAAAATGGTAATCATTTAATTGAATTCAATCCAGCTATTAGAAGACTTCTTTTTTCTTTTTATTTTGCATAAGAACCTTAATTCAATATTTCTGATTTGACCATTGGTCTATCTTATTGTAAATCAAGTGATTAGGATTTAGAATAGTATTGTCTTGAGATATTTGGCAAGATAGTTTATTTTGGTTAATCTCCATCTGTATGTTCTACTCTAATACCAAATTCTAATATTTTTAAATAGTAATACACAACACACTTTTTGGTATTGCAATCAATTCATATTCATTTAAGTTGACTGATCCTGTTTTGGAGAGTGGAAATGAATACATTTCTTTATCTGGAACAAATTGTGATCTATACATGTTTGACATATTAGTTCCAGGTTTTAATGGAGAAGCATGTGATAATTTTCTATTTTTGTTAAATGTTTTAATGTTTGTAATGATTTATGGATCTTTACTTGTAGGAGTAACATCATTTGATTATTATGATTGTTTTTCAATATCTGAATAGTTATAGACATGCTAATTAGAAATGTATGAACTAAAAGTATATGATGCAGGCATTTTCTCAATTGGAGTACCATTTGATTAAATGATACCTGTAACTCCTTCACGTTTATTCATTGTAGAAGTCCTTCCTTTAAAACGCGTTAAAAAATCCACTTTCATATTTATGATTTATTAAAATATTTAGTTAATATATCATAAAATAACATATTTATAATATTGAGATGTATAGTAGTGATATTTAAATTTGAAATGAAAGAAAATAGTGGTAAATATGAAATTTAATTGAATATATATGCAATTAAAATCTAATTATAAATATGGATCAATTTTATGATGATTATTAACCAACTACAAATAATAAAGATGTAGAATCAATAATTAAAACTAGATTAAAATCTATCGTAATGGCAATTCTAATTTATGTTGTACCTTAACAATAAGAGATAATACTAAATTTAGTGAAATACGTAAATCTTTACAATAAAAATGGGACACTTAGTTTAATAGATTAAGATTATTCAATTAAGAAGGAGTAGAAATAACTGAAGATGATTTAGATTATATAAAAAATGGAACTGTGTTATTTGCATCAAAAGGTAGTAGTCAATAAATAAGTTATTTAAAGGTGAAGAATTTGATGAAAGTTTTCAATTAGCAGAATATGAGTAATTGTAAGATATAGGAGAAGGTGGTTTTGGAAAAGTAGTACTTGGAAGACACAAATAAACAGGTGAAAAAGTAGCTATTAAAATGGTTAAGTAAATGATGACAAATGCTTAAGTATAAATTTATTAAAAATGAGGATGTTGATATGATATTTAGAGAAGCAAGAGCATTAAAATCTTTAAAACATGACAATATTGTTAAGATTTACAATGCCTTCTTTTTACAGAATTTATAAACTGTTTATATAATGGAATATTTAGAGGGAGGTGAATTACTTTAATATTTATAAACTAAAGGAAGATTTGAAGAAAATGAAGCTAGACATTATTTTAAATAACTAGTCAGTGCAATTGCATATTGTCATCAGAAAAAGATAATACATAGAGATTTAAAATTAGAAAACTTATTGTTGACAAGCAAAGAATCTGGCATAGTCAAATGTATAGATTTTGGTATATCTGGTTTTGCATCTAATGACAATCCAGAAAATGCAGATGCAGGTAGTCTAAGATATATGGCTCCTGAATTACTTAAAGGTATTTGTTCATACTACTATATCATGTAGGTATGGATAAAGCAGTCTCTCCTTTAGTAGATGTATGGTCTATGGGTATAATATTATATGGGATGTTATTTGGTACATTACCATTTACTGGTAATACTAATAAAGAGATTATCGCTTAAATTTCTGATGGGAGAGTAAACATTCCTCCTGAATATAATAATAAGCTATCTTAAAATTGTTTAGATTGTTTATATCGTGCTTTAGAACCAGAACCAAAAAAAAGAATTACTTCAATTGAACTCTTAAATCATCCTTTTGTTACTAATGAGAATACGTTAAATACCACTACAAATAAGTAATTATTATATATATATATTAAAATAGACCTAAAATCTAAACTTAACTTTAATAGGTTGATGAAGGTGAAAATTAAGCTATGTAACAATAATCATAATCAGCAACCAATAAAAAATAAAATGTTCAGTTTTCTAAATAATTTGCAAAATAGCATCCATAATCTACTAGATAATTAATGTAAACATAAAAGAAACCTCCCTAATAATCACCATTATTATAAAAATAAACTTAATCAATTGGATCAACTATAAAATAAACAAAATTCAGTAAAAAATGATGTATAATATTAGATTTATTTATTAAATTTTAATCATATAAAATAATAAAATAATAAATTAAAAATTTTAATATTTTTTATTATATATTATTCTAAAGTAGATAACATTATATATATTCATTATCTTTAGCTAAAAGATCTGAGAACAGAGTCTTGATATTAATGAAATAACATTTTTGGAGGAGATTTCTTAATTGGAATAGGATTAATCTTTTAAGGTAATTAAGCATATTTTGCAATTGGTTATTCTTAACTAAAATATTAAATTTATATTATTATACTTAGATTCATCAAATTCTTTTTTAGGAGTCATTTCATGTCTAAATTTTATCTTACTAAATTGAAATTATAATACTTTTGGTAATTAAACAGAATAAAGAGTATTTTATTAACTTTATTAATATGAATGAGAGATTCCTTATGATTAATTTATTTATTATTAAGATTAATGAGAATTTTTACCTGTAGTAGATAAATTTTTTTTACTATCAAGTTATTCTAAATATGAAAAATGATTTTATGGTGATTAAATTGGATTTTTAATTGAACTCTCATTCTTTTCTGTAAAATTTACAACAACATGTTTAGGAGATGGACTTGGGGAAAGAATTTTTTTAAAGGTTTTTAATACTTTTGATGGTCGAAATGAGGGATATTTTTACAAATCTTCATTTAAGTAAATTTAATTATCAATTTATTATGGTTTTCTTTCTTCTCTTTTTTTGTGTAACACAATTTACTCTAATTTATACTTTGGTAGTAATTTAAATATATCTATTTTCTCTTAACTTATTATAGCTGTTTCTGCAAATGATCTAATAGATTCAATTGTTGGTCTTAAATCAGGATCATAACATAACATAATCCTTAATAAATTATTCATATTTAAACTATATTAAGGATTATATGTAAATTTCAATCCTTTTAAAATTTATTTATGTAACACATTAATATTATTGGCTTTAAAAGGAGCTTCTTTAAACATAAACTAATAAATTAAAAACCCAAGCATCCAAATATCAGATTTACAATCATATATTTTTGATTTTGCAAATTCTGGGGCCAATAAATATATATCTAAATACTCTTCTGGATGTAAATAAAATAATATATTCATTTCACCCAAAATAGCATTTTTTTCAAAACAAAATAAATTTGATAACAGTATTTTACCATGTGGCCTTTTAGGATGAAATAAACTAAGAGCTGAACATAACTATATAGGTTTTATTATAATACTTGAATCAAAATTATTAATATATCTTTCTCTTATAATGGACATTAATATTAACATTCTATGTATTCACTAATTACCCTTTAATATATATTTTATTACATACCCTAAATAGGTATTGTCAATATCATGAGAAGCTTCATAAAATTTAATTACATGAGGATTACTCTTTCTAGAAAGTTTGTTCAATATTTTAATTATTGAGGTTACCTTTTCTTTATTTATTCCTTCTAAATTAAATAACCTCAAAACATATATTTTATTGCCTCTTTTTAAAAGAATTGTTTTCTTGTATACATTTTATCTTAATATTTCAATAACACTAAATTAAGGATAGAGTGATTCAATATTCTTCTTTAATAATTAAGTCATTTTTATACTAAATTAATTTTGCTTATTATATTCAAATGGAACTTAAAGGAGCTTTTTCTTATTTGATTCAAATACTCTCTAATTATATTTTAGATAATTCAATTCTACTCAAACTAACTTAACTAAGATAATTATTAGATAATAAATAAACTAAAGAATTAGAAATTAAAAAGTTCATTGTTTCTATTGGATAAATATCATTACTATCAAATTAAAGTAAAGAAACAAAGAATTCTGATAATTTAATCTTAATATCAAAATAAAAATACCTATCAAAATAGTAATCAAGATTTCTATCTTTAATCAATATTCTCTAACCACTTAATTAAAATTAATCTCCCATAAATTCTAAGATTCAAAGATAAACCAATACACATAGATCTTTATCAAACAATTCTAATGATGTTCATCAATTAAATGATAGACTTATTACTTAAATAACTGATCGAGTAAAAAATTAAAAGAGATAATTTAATATTCCAAATGTCTTTATTAAAACTTATGAAGACAATTCAAGTAACAATTCCCCTATTTAGAGTCCTATTAACATATATAATTCAATCTCTAATTTTGGTTCCATTAAAAATATTAAATCAGAATTGCAAAAAACATCAATTTTTTAAATTAAAACTACTCTAATTGATAAATTGAAATATACTATTTAAGACTTTAATAATAATACAATAGAAATTCTTTCTTCAACATAGAATAATTAACAAAGAGTTAAAGATAAATTTAATAGAAAAGAAATTAATCCTTTATTCAAAAACCATAGAAAATCTTCAGTAGATGGAATTATTTTATTTTGAATTTATTATTAACTAATTTTTAAATACAACTAATCTAAATTAATATATTTGATATATATCTTTAACAATTACTAAAATTGATGATTTATGATTATTTTATATTTATTATAATAATATCAATATTATATGATATTTAATTATGATTAATTAAAATTAGAACAAGAAATTAAAATGAAAAATTATAATTGATTACTACTTTATTATGAGACAATGATAAACTAGTATAAATATTAAGTAATTTTTAGAGATAATAAATTTAAATTTAAGTATATTTTTTTAATTACAATAATAATCATCACTTAATACTTAGCAAAATACAATACTTGTAAAGAAAGGAAAAAATTAACAAATACTCTTATTATCTTCTTAATATATAAAGTTACAATATTTATTAATTATATATCTAAATTATTTATTAATAATATCATTGTTCATATATAAATAACTTAGATAATTTATGATAAAAATTTAAGTATAGTTATTTACATATATTTATTTTTGTAATTTCATTAAAAAATTATGTTTCTAAAATGAATTCTTATAGGATTCCATTTTTAGTTTTGATAATGGAAATTTAAATAAATAACTATTTAAATTATCAGAATAAAATATATTTAATTATAAAAAATGATGTCTTTAGATATTTAAAGTGATTATTATGATTATGCTTCAGTTTTAGATGATAAATACTATATTATTGATACAATAGGTGTAGGCAGATATGCAAAGTAATTCTACAATTCTTATTATTATAGAGTAAAGTTAGCTATCGACATTTAAGATAAGTAAAAGTATGCAATAAAAATAATGAAGATAGATCCTACTACAAATCAGAATAAACTATCATAATTTATTAATGAAGTATCTCATTAAGCTGAGTTCGAACATAATAATATAATAAAGATTGTTTAAGTATTTGAGATCTCAATTTATAGTGCA